GATAGATGGATGGATGGATAGATAGATGGATGGATAGATGGATGGATGGATAGATAGATGGATGGATGGCTGGATGGATAGATAGATGGAAGGATGGATGGATGGATAGATAGCACTTTCCCTCCTCACCTCTGCACTTTCCCTCCTCACCTCATACCTGAAAGACCGTACCTACAGGGTGACTTGGAGAGGGTCTGAGTCCGACCCTTGTCAATTAACTACAGGGGTCCCTCAGGGCTCTGTTCTTGGTCCCCTCCTCTTCTCCCTGTACACAAACTCGCTCGGATCAGTCATTAGCCCGCATGGTTTTTCTTACCACTGCTACGCTGACGACACCCAATTAATTCTGTCCTTTCCCCGCTCAGAGACCCAGGTCGTCGCACGCATCTCTGCTTGTCTAGCTGACATCTCTCAGTGGATGTCTGCTCATCACCTCAAGCTCAACCTTGATAAGACTGAGCTGCTCTTCCTTCCGGGAAAAGATTGTCCCACTCTTGACCTGACAATCAACATTGGCACCTCAGTTGTTTCCCCGACTCAGACTGCAAGGAATCTGGGTGTGACCCTAGATAACAACCTGTCTTTCACTGCAAACATCGCTGCTACAAACCGTTGCTGCAGATACACGCTTTACAACATCAGGAAGATACGTCCCCAGCTGACACAGAAAGCGACTCAGGTTCTGGTCCAGGCTCTCGTCATCTCACGCCTAGACTACTGCAACTCCCTCCTGGCTGGTCTACCTGCATGTGCCATCCGACCTCTGCAGCTCATCCAGAATGCAGCGGCTCGTCTGGTCTTCAACCTTCCTAGATGTTCCCACACCACTCCGCTCCTCCGCTCCCTTCACTGGCTTCCGGTAACTGCTAGAATCCACTTCAAGACACTGGTACTTGCTTACCGTGCTGCGAATGGATCTGGCCCTTCGTACATCCAGGACATGGTTAAACCGTACACCCCAGCGCGTGCACTACGCTCTGCATCATCCAAACGACTCGCTGCACCCTCGCTGCGAGGGGGACCCAAGTTCCCATCGGCGAAAACACGTGGGTTTGCTATCCTGGCTCCAAGATGGTGGAATGAGCTCCCCATTGACATCAGGACAGCAGATAGCTTGCACATCTTCCGGCGCAAACTGAAAACTCATCTCTTTCGACTCCACTTTGAGCGATAGAACTATTAACAAAGCACTTATATACTAATAAAGGGCTGGCTTATCTAAAGCCAGTTGAGTAGCACTTGAAATGTTTGGCTCTATGAAACCTGATGTACTTTATGATTCTGTTTTCTTCAAGGTTGTATTTTGTTGGTCGAACGCACTTATTGTAAGTCGCTTTGGATAAAAGCGTCAGCTAAATGCAATGTAATGTAATAATGTAATGTAATAGATGGATGGATGGATGGATAGATGGATGGATAGATGGATGGATAGATAGATGGATGGATGGATAGATAGATAGATAGATGGATGGATGGATGGATGGATGGATAGATGGATGGATGGATAGATGGATGGATGGATAGATGGATGGATGGATGGATAGATAGATAGATGGATGGATGGATGGATAGATAGATAGATGGATGGATGGATGGATAGATAGATGGAAGGATGGATGGATGGATAGATGGATGGATGGATGGATAGATAGATAGATGGATGGACGGACGGACGGACACACAGAGATCCTTATCATCTTGAAACATCTCCCGTGTCTCCTATCTCCTCCTCAGATCCACATGAAGTCAGTGTGAGTTTCCAGCAGCTTCTGAACGTCACATCTTCTTCTCGCTGGAGGTTTTGTGCCGTGTTGTCTCACTGCTTCGCGCTGAACGTGGCTCCTCCGGGTCTCTATAACACCTTAAAGCTGGCCTTATTGCTCAGCTTGGTGCAGAACAGAGTGGATGAAAAAGAGACGTTTCACAACCTGGATCTCCTCGCTGTCACCACTGACTCTCTCATTCTGGACAGGTACACTGTGCACATCCTGAAAACACTACATATGAAACATGCGTTTAATCACAGCAGCATTTAGCTGATTATCTGCCGGTATAATTAATTGACTTTATTTGATAAAGCTTTAGACCCAGAATCCTCTCTTTAGTAGCAGCTGGAAGAGAGGGGGACGAGGCTCGTGGTCTGTTTGGAGCAGAACACTTCAGTGACGTGTTTTATATTTCTGAGACCTGTAATATAAAAGATAAAATATGGAGCACTTTCTAATGTGGGAGATGTTTGAGTTGCAGCAGCATCAAAACACAAGGCGTTGCACATTGGAGAAATGAAAAGACTAAAATAAACAATCCAAAATGTAAACGTCTCAAATAGAAATAAAATAGCATTAAAAAAGTAAAAAATATACATGTGGAAAATGTACATGTGATTTCAGTAACAAAATATAAAGCAGGATATTATATATGAATTGTGCAAAGAATGGATTATTAAATATTAGATTGAATATAAAAACAATGTACCGTGAGATTGAGTCTAATAGCAGAGCTTTAAACCCTCCTCGTTAGACTGATGACGTACAGCTTGCAGTTGGCGAGTCGTGGAGTCAGACATCAGGTGTCAGGAGAGATGTTTGCTTCTCTTTCTCGAGACGGACTCGGCTCCGGCTCCGCTAACATCCACGCCGGCTCCTCTCTGCTCGCCACGGGGGGAGTCTGCATGCTGGGGGATCTGGGAGGATACAAGAAGGACAAGCTGGACGCCATCCAGTCAGGTAGAGGCTCAAAGAGATTCATCCCACAGGCCATAAGACTGTTCAACGCCTGAACCTTTGAAAGAACATCCACGTTTCAAGGCTTGCAATGTAATTCGTACGGCAGTTACAGTGTGGATATATCAATGACACAGATACTGCAAGTAATACAAATGAAAACAAATAGAATAGAAATAGTGCAATCAGAGTCAAAGTAATTGGAATGACATAGTGATCCATAACAACAATCCCCTCTTCCACCGAGCTTAGCACTCTTTACTTTTGTTCTCTCTTTTGTTCTTCGCTTGTTTGTAAAGCGCTTTGAGCTCCAGGAAAAGTGCTCTATAAATCACACGCATCATTATTATTACATTCATCTGTTAGCAACTTACACATTATGTATCAAATACATCGTATTCCAATCACTTGTATACTCTTATTGCACTACTTATTATATTTGATTTGTGTTCACTGTTAACTGTTGTATTGTGTTGCTCTGTTGGAGCAGCCTGTGACCTGTGTGTGTGTGTGTGTGTGTGTGTGTGTGTGTGTGTGTGTGTGTGTGTGTGTGTGTGTGTGTGTGTGTGTGTGTGTGTGTGTGTGTGTGTGTGTACATGTGTGTGTACATGTGTGCACATGTGTATGTGTGTGTGTGTGTACATGTGTGTGTGTGTGTGTGTGTGTGTACATGTGTGTACATGTGTGTGTGTACGTGTGTGTGTGTATGTGTGTGTGTGTGTGTGTGTGTGTGTACATTACATTGCATTTAGCTGACGCTTTTATCCAAAGCGACTTACAATAAGTACATTCGACCAGGAAGACACAACCTTGAAGAAAACAGAATCATATAAGTACATCAGGTTTCATAGAGCCAAACATTTCAAGTGCTACTCAACTGGCTTTAGGTAAGCCAGTCCTTTATTAGTATAAAAGTGCTTCGTTAATAGTTCTAACGCTCGAAGTGGAGTCGAAAGAGATGAGTTTTCAGTTTGCGCCGGAAGATGTGCAAGCTATCTGCCGTCCTGATGTCAATGGGGAGCTCATTCCACCATCTTGGAGCCAGGACAGCAAACCCACGTGTTTTTCGCCGATGGGAACTTGGGTCCCCCTCGCAGCGAGGGCGCAACGAGTCGTTTGGCTGATGCAGAGCGTAGTGCACGCGCTGGGGTGTACGGTTTAACCATGTCCTGGATGTAGGAAGGGCCAGATCCATTCGCAGCATGGTAAGCAAGTACCAGTGTCTTGAAGTGGATTCTAGCAGTTACCGGAAGCCAGTGAAGGGAGCGGAGGAGCAGAGTGGTGTGGGAGAATTTAGGAAGGTTGAAGACCAGACGAGCCGCTGCATTCTGGATGAGCTGCAGAGGTCGGATGGCACATGCAGGTAGACCAGCCAGGAGGGAGTTGCAGTAGTCTAGGCGTGAGATGACGAGAGCCTGGACCAGAACCTGAGTCGCTTTCTGAGTCAGCTGGGGACGTATCTTCCTGATGTTGTAAAGCGTGTATCTGCAGCAACGGGTTGTAGCAGCGATGTTTGCAGTGAAGGACAGGTTGTTATCTAGGGTCACACCCAGATTCCTTGCAGTCTGAGTCGGGGAAACAACTGAGGTGCCGATGTTGATTGTTAGGTCAAGAGTGGGACAATCTTTTCCCGGGAGGAAGAGCAGCTCAGTCTTGTCAAGGTTGAGCTTGAGGTGGTGAGCAGACATCCACTGAGAGATGTCAGCTAGACAAGCAGAGATGCGTGCAACGACCTCGGTCTCTGAGCGGGGAAAGGACAGAATTAATTGGGTGTCATCAGCGTAGCAGTGGTAAGAAAAACCATGCGGGCTAATGACTGATCCGAGCGAGTTTGTGTACAGGGAGAAGAGGAGGGGACCAAGAACAGAGCCCTGAGGGACCCCCGTAGTTAATTGACAAGGGTCGGACTCAGACCCTCTCCAAGTAACCCTGTAGGTACGGTCTTTCAGGTATGAGGTGAGGAGGGAAAGTGCAGAGCCTGAAACTCCAAGTTTTTGGAGAGTGCGAAGGAGGATCTGATGATTCACCGTGTCGAATGCAGCAGACAGGTCCAATAGGATGATGACAGAGGGGAGGGATGCAGTTTTGGCAGTGTGCAGTTCCTCCGTGACAGCAAGGAGAGCAGTTTCTGTGGAGTGACCTGCCTTGAAACCAGACTGGTGCGGATCCAGAAGGTTGTTCTGATTGAGATAACAGGAGAGTTGTTTAAAGACAGCGCGTTCAAGTGATTTAGACAGGAACGGGAGGAGAGAGACAGGCCTGTAGTTTATAACATCTGACGGGTTGAGAGTGGGTTTCTTTAGGAGAGGGTTTACTCTTGCCTCCTTGAGACTGTTTGGAAAGTGACCAGAAGTTAGAGAAGTGTTGATGAAATGGGTGAGAAACGGTAGAATATCAGGAGCGATAGTCTGAAGGAGGTTTGAAGGGATAGGGTCCAGAGGACAGGTGGTAGGGCGGGCAGAGGTAATGAGGTTAAGAACCTCACTTGGAGAGAGAGGGGAAAAGGAGGTTAGTGTGTTGGTGGAAGGAGGGTCTGGTGACCCAGCGGTGAGTAAAGGTGAGTCAGAAAAAGAAGAGCGAATATCATCAACCTTTTTTTCAAAGTGGGTAACAAAGTCGCTTGACAGAAGTGAGGAGGGGGGAGGAGCTTTTGGAGGGTCCAAGAGGGTGGAGAAGATGGAAAATAGTTTTTTAGGATTGGAATAGGAAGATTGGATCTTATCTTGAAAGAAAGTGCTTTTTGCCTGAGAGATCGAAGCAGAGAAAGAGGAGAGGAGAGCCTGATAGGTTAGGAGGTCGTCACGGTGTTTGGATTTCCACCATTTCCGCTCTGCTGCCCTAAGAACGGTTCTATTAGCACGCAGTGCGTCATTTAGCCAGGTAGCAGGAGGGGACTGACGAGCCTGCCGAGATGTGAGAGGACAGAGCGAGTCCAGAGTGGATGAGAGAGTAGAGAGGAGAGTTTCTGCAGCAGAGTTTGGAGGCAGGAGATGGAACGAATCAGAGGAAGGGAGGGCTGAGAGCACCGACGAGGCAAAGCTAGAGGGGGAGAGGGAGCGAAGGTTACGGCGGACAAGTGCAGGATGAGAAGAGATTAGTTTGTTATGTTTGAAAAGGGATAGAGAGAATGAAATGAAGAAGTGATCGGATGTGTGGAGCGGGTTTACAGAGAGGTTAGAAGTAGCGCAGTTCCTTGAGAATATCAGATCAAGGACATTGCCAGCTTTATGAGTCGGTGGGGACGGAGACAGTGAGAAAGCAAAGGCGGTTAACAGAGATGTTAGTTCGTCTATCTTCCCCGTCTGGAGGTTGAAGTCTCCGAGAAGTACAGCGGGAGGGCCAGTTTCAGGGATGAGTGAGAGGAGATTATCTAATTCCTCCAAGAAGTCCCCCAAGGCGCCTGGTGGACGGTAGAGAACAACAATGGTTAACTATATAGGATGGGTTACTGTGACGGCATGGAATTCAAAGGTGAAGGAGTGAAGTTAGGTAGCTTGAAGAGGGAAAAGCTCCATTTGGGAGAGAGCAGGAGACCAGTGCCACCTCCTCTGCCAGTGGGTCTGGGTGTATGGGAGAAGGAATATGCAGTGGAGAGAGCTGCTGGGGTGGATGTGTTGGATGGAGTAATCCAGGTCTCAGTGAGAGCAAGGAAATCCAGAGACTGCAGGGAGGCGTAGCCAGAGATGAAGTCAGCCTTAGGAACAGCTGACTGGCAATTCCACAGGCCACCAGAAACTAGATGTTGGATCTCAGTGGAGCACGTGGGATAGACGAGAGCAGGCCGGTTATATCGATTAGGAGATACACGGGGCCAGTGATAATTGCGAGAAGACACATGAACAGGAATAGAGAAAATACACATGATTATAGCATGCGGGGCTAGAAAACTAAAGAAAAGAGAAATAAGACACCAGCT